ACGTAACTCTCAGCTGACCTAGAAGTGCTTCTGAGACCAGGCCTTATTTGTGTTTTGTTGTATCTTCAGTTGTATAAACCATGGGGAACAAATGGAGAAAGGGAAAGGACTTCAGCTGATAGCGGAGTGATTCATAAATCAGTCTCATAGATGGAAAACTAAGGTCCACAGAGATTCATTGTCCATGACCCATGATGAATTAATTTTTTTATTCAATAAAGCTATATTTAGTATTATAAGTATTATAGTATTATAAGGTATATTAATTATCTATTACTGCATAACAAATTACCTTAAAACTTGGTGGCTTAAACAACACACATTCATTATCTCATGCATTCTGTGGGTCAGGAAATCCAGGGTATGACTTAGCAAGATCCTGCTTCAAGGTCTCTCACAAAGCTGCAATCCAGGTGTCTACCAGAGCTGGAGTCTCATCTGAAGGCTCAACTGAGGAAAGATCCACTTTCAACCTCACACAGTTGTTGGTAGGATTTAGTTATTTGCAGACCATTGGGTGAAATTCTTTTTCTTGCTGGATGTTGGCTGAAGTCCACCCTCAGTTCCTTACCACACAGCCTCTGACATGGCATATTGCTTCATAGAAATATACAAAGCGAGAAAACAATAGAGAGTCTGCAAGCAAGATGAAGTCATAATCTTTTGTAACCTAATCCCGGAAGTGTCATCCCCATCAACTTTGCCACATTCTACTTGTCAAAAGCATGTCAGCAGTCCAGCTCACACTCAGCGGGAGGAGATTCTCCAAGGACATGAATACCAGGAAGTGGGGATCTGTCTTAGGCAGTTTGGGCTGCTGTAACAAAATACCATAGAGTGGGTGGCTTCAACTACAGACACTGATTTCTCACAGTTCAAGGGGGTAGGAAGTCCAAGGTCAAAGTGCTGGCGACTCAGTGCCTGGTGAGGCCTCTCTTCCTAGTTTGCTGAGGGGGCTCTGGTCTCTTCCTCATATAAGGGCAGTGATTCCATCATGGGGACTCAGCCGTCATAACCTCATCTAAACCTAATTATCTCCCAAAGGCTTCACCTCCAAATACCTTCATATTGGGAACTCAGGTTTCAATATATTAATTTTAGGGAGTAATAGGGGGAAAAAACCTTTTCCTATACATTCATACACTTCTTTTCTGACACCAGATGTATGGATTTGACTCAAACCAGCCAATTCTCCAAGTTTCCAGACACCACCTGGGGGTCCTACAATTAAGTTATGGCACTACCTAACTCAGTCCCACAAGACTGCCCCCCACTTCAGATGCCAATTGCAAGGAGTGGGTCCCAACTTGGCTACAAATTGGGGGTTCCCACAACCCTCTCCTTTGGTTTGATAATTTGCTGTAACAGCTCCCAGAACTCAGGGAAACACTTACACTTACCAGTTTATTATAAAGGACAAAGGCGTGTCTAAGCATGGTGGCTTACACCTGTAATCCCAGCACTTTGGGAGGCTGAGGCAGGAGGATCGCTTGAGCCTAGGAGTTCAAGACCAGCCTGAGCAACATAGTGAGACCCCATCTCAATTCAATAATTAAAAAAATAAAACTAAAAGGCTATAGGTGAACTGCAGATGAAGAGATACATAGGGTGAGGTCAGGAAGGATCCTGTACACAGGAGCTTCTGTTCTTGTGGAGTTTGCCATACCTGGCACAGATATGTATTCACCAACCCAGAAGCTCTCCAAATGGCATCTTTTAGGAATTTTAATGATGGCTTCATTACATAGGCATGATTGATTATTAAGTCAATGCCTAGGCTCTCTCTCCTCCGGATGTTGGGGTGTGGGACTGAAAGTTCCAAGCTTCTAATTGTGGCTTGGTCGTTCTTGTGACCAACCCCCATCCTGAAGCTATCCAGGAACCTACCAAGAGTTGTCTCATTAGAACAAAAGATGCTCTGGTCACCCAGAAAATTCCCAGAGAGTTGCTCTGTGCCAGGGCAGAGACCAAGTGTCACAGGGGTATGCAAACATTGAGTGCATCGCAGAATCATTGAGGTCCATCTTTGTAAGCTGTCTACAAGAGTTGGTACATATATCTAGCTTTCTTGTTCTCAGCTACAGCTTTTTCTACTAGACCAAACCATCTGACGTGTGGCTATGAAACACTAATATGCTCAGTGTGGTGGGCTGAAGAATGGCCCTCCAAAGATATTCATGATATAATCCCTAGAATCTGTCAGTACGTTACCTTAGATGGCATAGGAAATTTTGCAGATATGATGAAAGATTTTGTAATAGATTATCCAGGTGGGACCAATGTAATCACAGGGTCCTTAGGCAGGAGGATCTGAGTCAGAAAAGACGATGTGACAATGTAAACAGAGGGAGGAAGGAGAGGTGATGAAGGAAACAGAGGGAGGAAGGAGAGGTGCTGACGGAAACAGGGAGGAAGGAGAGGTGATGATGGAAACAGGGAGAAAGGAGAGGTGATGAAGGAAACAGAGGGAGGAAGGAGAGGTGCTGACGGAAACAGGGAGGAAGGAGAGGTGCTGACGGAAACAGGGAGGAAGGAGAGGTGATGATGGAAACAGGGAGGAGGGAGAGGTGATGATGGAAACAGGGAGAAAGGAGAGGTGATGATGGAAACAGGGAGAAAGGAGAGGTGATGAAGAAAACAGAGGGAGGAAGGAGAGGTGCTGACGGAAACAGGGAGGAAGGAGAGGTGATGATGGAAACAGAGGGAAGAGGGAGAGGTGATGAAGGAAATGGGGAGGAAGGAAGAAGAGGTAATGAAGGAAACAGAGGGAGGAGGGAGAGGTGATGATGGAAACAGAGGAAGGAAGGAGAGGTGATGAAGGAAACAGGGAGGAAGGAGAGGTGATGAAGGAAACAGAGGGAGGAAGGAGAGGTGATGAAGGAAATAGAGGGAGAAAGGAGAGGTGATGAAGGAAACAGGGAGGAAGGAGAGGTGATGATGGAAACAGAGGAAAGAAGGAGAGGTGATGATGGAAATGGAGGAAGGAGAAGTGCTGATGGAAACAGGGAGATAGGAGAGGTGATGGAAACAGAGGGAGGAGGGAGAGGTGATGATGGAAACTGAGGAGGGAGAGGTGAAGAAGGAAACAGAAGGAGGAAGGAGAGGTGATGAAGGAAACAGAGGGAGGAAGGAGAGGTGATGAAGGAAACAGAGGGAGGAAGGAGAGGTGATGAAGGAAACAGAGGGAGGAAGGAGAGGTGATGAAGGAAACAGGGAGGAAGGAGCGGTGATGATGGAAACGGAGGAAGGAGAGGTGCTGATGGAAACAGGGAGGAAGGAGAGGTGATGAAGGAAACAGAGGGAAGAAGGAGAGGTGATGATGGAAACAGAGGAAAGAAGGAGAGGTGATGATGGAAACAGAGGAAGGGGAGGTGCTGATGGAAACAGGGAGGAAGGAGAGATGATGATGGAAACAGGGAGGAAAGAGAGGTAATGAAGGAAACAGGGAAGAGGGACAGGTGATGATGGAAACAGGAAGGAGAGGTGATGAAGGGGGATGAAGGAAACAAGAGGGAAGAAGGATAGGTGCTGACGGAAACAGAGGGAGGAGGGAGAGGTGATGAAGGAAACAGAGGGAGAAGGGACAAGTGCTGATGGAAACAGGGAGGAGGGAGAGGTGATGGTGGAAACAGAGGGAGGAGGGAGAGGTGATGAAGGAAACAGAGGGAGAAGGGACAGGTGCTGATGGAAACAGGGAGGAGGGAGAGGTGATGGTGGAAACAGAGGGAGGAGGGAGAGATGATGAAGGAAACAGGGAGGAGAGACAGGTGATGATGGAAACAGAGGGAGGAGGGAGAGGTGATGATGGAAACAGAGGGGGGAGGAAGAGGTGATGGAAACGAGGAAGGAGAGGTGATGAAGAACACAGAGGGAGGAGGGAGAGGTGATGATGGGAACAGAGGGAAGAAGGAGAGGTGCTGACGGAAACGGAGGAAGGGGAGGTGCTAACAGAAACAGAGGGAGGAGGGAGAGGTACTGACAGAAACAGAGGATGAAATGGTGTGGCTGCAAACCAGGGCATATGGGCAGCTGCTAGGAGGTTGAAAAGGCAAGGAATGGATTCTCCCCTTGAGCCTCTAGGAGGAACTTGGCTCCGCTAACACCTTGAGTTTAGATCCATAAGCCCCACTTAGTACTCCTGACCTCCAGAACTAAAAGATAATAAATTTATGTTATTTTAAGCCACTAGGTTTGTGGTAATTTGTCCCAGCAGCAATAAGAAACTAATATAGCCGGGTGCGGTGGCTCACGCCTGTAATCCCGGCACTTTGGGAGGCCAAGGCGGGTGGATCACGAGGTCAGGAGATCGAGACCACCCTGGCTAACACGGTGAAACCCCGTCTCTACTAAAAAATACAAAAAATTAGCCGGGTGAGGTGGCAGGCGCCTGTAGTCCCAGCTACTTAGGAGGCTGAGACAGAAGAATGGCTTGAACCCAGGAGGCGGAGCTTGCAGTGAGCCGAGATCACGCCACTGCACTCCAGCCTGGGTGACAGAGTGAGACTCCATCTCAAAAAAAAAAAAAAAGAAAAAGAAACTAATATATTCACCAAAAGTCCTTGAGGAATCCCACTTGTAGAATTTTTGAAGGAATTAGGAGCTTACATAGAAGGTATAGGATAGTGGGCTTCTGAGGGCTTTTCCTGCCCTCTGGTAACTCTGAAACATAATTTACATTATTGGAGTCTTTCTGTTTTTAGGAAATTGTTCCTAGTTTTATTCAATACTAAGTCCTATCAATATTAAACAGTTTTTTTAAAAAACATATTTGGTTAGTTAAAGGTAGACCTAGGTCTCACATACTCTTCAAAATAAAACAAAAACATGATATTTAGCAGATGACACTAAAGCTTCCATTTTCAAAGCTGGTTGCTTGTTTATTTGTACCTCAGGAGTGGAAATACTGGCTGAGATGAAAGTACCTGGCACAAATCGCTTTTCCTCCTTGGTGTTTCACAGCCAGATGTTGTGAAATTCTTTTGTTTTTCTTTTTTCTCTAGTGCCTGGAAACCTTGGCTGCTACAAGGATCATGGAAACCCACCTCCTCTAACTGGCACCAGTAAAACGTCCAACAAACTCACCATACAAACTTGCATCAGTTTTTGTCGGAGTCAGAGGTTCAAGGTGATGACTCTGTGGCTATGTAACTATAGAAAAATGTAAAGATGTAAATGCATTTTGCTCGGATCACTTAAAAATAAGTGCTAAGTAAAATAAGCCAGACACAAAAGGCCACCTATTATATGATTCCACTTATATGAATCATCTAGAATAGGCAAATCCATAGAGATAGAAAGTAGGTTAGTGGTTGCCAGAGGGTGGGAGGCGGGAGGAATTGGTACGAACTGCTAATCAACACAGAGTTTCTTTTCTGGGTTATGAATGTTCTGGAATTAGATGGCAGTGACTGCACAACACAGTGACTATATCAATCACCACTGAAACATACACTGAAACAGTGAATGTTATGTTATGTGAATTACATTTCAGTTTTTAAAAAACCTAAAATAACTAAACTTCTAGAAAAATAAACAGAAAATCCTAAAATATTGGGTTAGACAAGGATTTCTAAATTGGACACAAAAACTAATCATTTAAAAAAGTATGGTAAATTGAAGTTATCAGTATTAAAATATTATCTTCAAAAAATAGAGTTAAGAATATGAAAGGCAGGCCACAGACTAGGAGAAAGTAGTTGTTAAATATATATCTGATAAAGGACTTGTATACAGAATATATAAAGAACTCTTATAGCTCAATAATATGACAACTTGATTTTGAAAATTAGCAAAAAATTTGAAGAGACATTTTATCCCCCCAAAATACATAAATGACCAATAAACATATGAAAAGATGCTCAGCATCACCAGTTGTCAGGGAAATACAAATTAAAACCACAGTGAGATACCACTGCATACAACTTCAGGATGTCTGAAGTTAATACTGAAAATACTAAGAATTGATAAGGATGTGGAGCAACTGAAACTCTCATAGACTGCTAGCAAGAATGTAAAATGCTACAGCTTCTTTGAAGAAAGATCTTAAATTTTCTTTCAAAGTTAAATATGCACACCTTAAAACTCAGCAATATCACACCTGGATAGTTACCCAAGATAAATGAAAACCTGTGTTCACACAAAGACTTATACATGAATGTTTATAGCAGCATTATTCATAATAGCTCCAAACTGTAAATAGTCTAAATGTCCATTAACTGATGAATGGAGAAACAAAGCACAGTATATCCATACATACTGTGGAATACCACTCAGCAATAAAAAGAAGAGACATATTAAGACATACTGGCCAGGTGCAGGGGCTCATGGCTGTAATCTCAGCACTTTGGGAAGCCGAGGTGGGTGGATCATGAGGTCAGGAGTTCGAGACCAACCTGACCAACATGGTGAAACCCTGTCTCTACTAAAAATACAAAAATTAGCCGGGCATGGTAGTGCATGCCTATAATTCCAGCTACTCAGGAGGCTGAGGCAGGAGAATCACTTGAACACAGGAGACGGAGGTTGCTGTAGTGAGCTGAGATCACGCCACTGCACTCCAGCCTGGGCAACAGAGTGAGACTCTGTCTCAAAAAAATAAATAAATAAATAAAAGACATACTGTTATACACAACATGGATGAATTTCCTAAACAGTAGGCTAGTTGAAAGAACTTAAACACAAGACTGCATACTGAACTCAAAATGGATCCCAAATCTAACAGTAAAATGTAAAACTATAAAACTTCTAGAAGAAGATATAAGAGAAAATCTTCATGACTTGAGTTTAGGCAAGAAGTTCTTACATGAGACACCAAAAGCATGACCCGTGATGAGAAGAAATTGGTACATTTTAATTTGGACTTCATAACAATTTAAAGATCTTGCTCTGTGAAAGATATTTTTAGGAGGATGAAAAGACAAGCTATATCCTGGGAGAAAATATTTGCAAATCACATATGTGACAAAGGACTTATATCTATAATGTGTAAAATTAAAAAAAAAAAAAAAAGCCAAACAACTCAACAGTTAAAAAAAAACAAACAAAGCAATTTAAAAATGGGCAAAAGACCTGAACAGAAGATATACAGATGGCAAATAAGCACATGAAAAAAAGCCAAAGAAGATATACAGATGACAAATAAGCACCTGAAAAGATAGTCATCTGGGCATGGTGACTCAAGCCTGTAATCCCAATGCTTTGGGAGGCCAAGGCAGGAGTATCACTTGAGGTCAGGAGTTTGAGACCAGCCTGGCCAACATGGCAAAACCCTGTCTCTACTAAAAGTACAAAAATTAGCTGGGTGTGGTAGCACACCTGTAGTTCCAGTTACTTGGGAAGCTGAGACAGGACAATTGCTTGCACCTGGAATGCGGAGGTTGCAGTGAACCAACATCATACCACTGTACTCCAGCCTGGGTGACAGAGTGAGACTCCATCTCAAAAACAATAGAAAACAAACAAAGATAAAGAAGACGATATAGTCGACATCATTAGCCATTAAGGTAATGCTAATTAAAACTATAATGAGATACCACTACATACCTATTAAAATGGCTAAAATAAAATATACTGAAAATAACAAGTGCTGACAAGGATACAGAGCAACTAGGACTTTCATATATTGTTGGTGCAGATCTAAAATGGTACAATCATTCTGGAAAAGTTTGGCACTTTTTAATAAAGTTAAATATACATCTACCATATGACCTAGTAATTCTATTCCTAGTTACTACTCTAGAGAAATGAAAACTTTTTTTTATTTTTTTTTATTTTTATTTTATTTATTTATTTATTTATTTATTTATTTTTGGAGACGGAGTCTCGCTCTGTCACCCAGGCTGGAGTGCAGTGGCCGGATCTCAGCTCACTGCAAGCTCCGCCTCCCGGGTTTACGCCATTCTCCTGCCTCAGCCTCCCGAGTAGCTGGGACTACAGGCGCCCACCACCTCGCCCGGCTAGTTTTTTTGTATTTTTTTTTTTAGTAGAGATGGGGTTTCGCCATGTTAGTCAGGATGGTCTCGATCTCCTGACCTCGTGATCCGCCCGTCTCGGCCTCCCAAAGTGCTGGGATTACAGGCTTGAGCCACCGCACCCGGCCGAGAAATGAAAACTTATATTCACATAAAAACCAGTACACAAATGCTTATAGCAGTTCTAGTCATAATTATGAATAACTAGAAACAGCCCAACAGATAAACAAGCTGTGATACATCCATACAATGAACTCTGCTCAGCAATAAGGAGTAAACTATTGATACAAACACCAATTTGGATGGATCTCAAAGCCATTATGCTGACTGAAAGAAGCCAGTCTCAAAAAGATTACATACTGTATGATTCTATTTATGTGACATTTTTGAAAAGACAAAACTATAGTAATGGAAAATGGGTCAGTGGTTGCCAGGGATTCTGGGGTAGGGCACCTATAAAGCAATAGTGCGAAGAAAATTACTGGGGTAATGCAGCTGTTCTGAATCCTGATTGTACTGGTGGTTGCACAAATCTTTTTTTTTTTCTTCTTTAAGACAGTCTCATTGTGTTGCCCAGGCTGCAGTGCAGTGATGCAGTCTCGGCTCACTGCAACATCTACCTCCTGGGTTCAAGCAAATCTCCTGCCTCAGCCTCCCAAGCAGTTGGGATTATAGGCACCCACCACCACGCCTGGCTAATTTTTGTGTTTTTAGTAGAGGTGGGGTTTCACTTTGTTGGCCAGACTGGCCTCTAACTCCTGACCTCAAGTGATCCACCTGCCTCAGTCTCTGAAAGTGTTGAGATTACAAGAGTGAGCCACTGTGCCCGGCTGTGGTTGCACAAATCTATACAAGTGTTAAAATTTACAGAACTATATGCCAAAATACTATATAGTAATGTAAAAACAAAGTTGTAAAATGGGGCCTATAATGTGTTTGCTTTGAGGGTTAGCTATAAAGCACTCACTACTTGGCACACAGTAAACAGTCAATAAAGTGTTTAGCTGTTACTCATGTTTGAAGTTTATGAGATTTTCTCCCCCTTAAAACTTACTTAAGTGCAGCAGAAACACAAACATTAAAAAGTGTTGCTCACCGACAGGGAAACACATTGGTGGCTGCATACCTATTGGTCAGCTTGAAATTAAGTGTTTCAAGAGTGGAAGAAGGGGGAGGTCCCAGAGGAAGGGACCCTGGGAAGATGAGCCTGATTGCTTGCTGGAAGCCCACCCTACCAGGCTCCTTCAGGCCATCTGACATCCCTGATGATGCTTACCGTGTGCTGCTTCTCTGTTGTGGCAGTTTGCTGGGATGGAGTCAGGCTATGCTTGCTTCTGTGGAAACAATCCTGATTACTGGAAGTACGGCGAGGCAGCTAGTACCGAATGCAACAGCGTCTGCTTCGGGGATCACACCCAACCCTGTGGTGGCGATGGCAGGATCATCCTCTTTGATAGTGAGTATGCCCTGTGCCCATCACTTCCCAAGCCACAGGAACCCTTAGACCAGAGCAACAAGCCTGCCCACCCTTCCTCCCTTCTATATATTCATTCATTCACTTGGCAATAGGCAATACTTGTGACTAGACCCTGGGAATACGGCACAGTGCATGAAGACTCAGCCCCTGCCTTCTGGAAGGGAGAACAGACACTTAACAAGGGATTAGCTACAGTCATGCCAAATGGTTTGAAGCAACGTGGTCTATTGTGTGATGCTTAGACAACCTAGAAATGATAACCTTTCCAATTTTACATAGACACTAATATAACAATCCAGTATCAGCTTTATTATCCTCTTGCTTTAATATAATTTCCAAACCCTTTTGACTTTTTTTTTTTTTTTTTTTTGCATTTGGGATTTATATATTATTGTGATACACCTAAGAAGACAGCGTAGTTCTAAGTTGTTTTTTCAGGCCTAGCATTGGGTTTTCCCTGACCCCCACCTCCTCTCTAAACTGCTGCATTTGTGAGATGCTGGCCAGGAGCAGAGTGTGTTCAGAATGGGAGTGGATCCAAGGCCTTGACCTCACCAACATCATGTCCTAACCACTGAGCCAACTGATTCCTCATCGTAATCCACCAGCATCCTCTCAGTAGCAGTGAGACTTTATGAGAGTTACAGCAACAGTGCAGCACCAGATTTCAAGATAATGGAGACAGACCAAAAAAAAAAAGGCTCAAGATTACCAAGAAATATTGCAGTGTCTGTGGTGTCTTTGGCCTTTAGGCTAGAGGAAGTGCACTCCTGGCATCTCAACCAGGCAGCATGGCTAGTTTTGAGCAAAAATGACATATGGTTTATTAGTTTCCTAGGACTGCCATAACAAATTATCATCAAGTGGGTGGCTTAAAACAAAGCAAAACAAAATTCATTCTCTGACAGTTCCGGAGGCTAGAAGTCCAAAATCGAGGTGTCAGCAGGGCTGTGCTCTCTCCAAAGTCTCCAGGGAAGCCCTCCTCACTTCTGGTGGTTGTGGGCAATCCTTGGCATTTGTTGGCTGCACCACTCCAGTCTCTGCCTTCTCCTTCACATAGCCTTCTTCCCTCTATGTGTGTCTGTGTGTCCATGTCTCTGTGTGTCTCCTTAAAAGGAACCAATCATTGAATTTATGGCCCACCTTAATCTAATATAGCCTCATCTTAACTCAGTTACATAATATTCACAGGTACCAGGTGTTAGGACTTGAGCATATCTTTCTAGGGGACACAATTCAGCCACTATATATGGTGACTATAAAACCCAGCCAAGGTTTATAACTGAGCCTTTTCATGTTATAGCTTAGACACTGTCTGAAGTGTGTTTGTATTTGGGGTGGGAAGACAGGATTAGTGAACAGAACTTGCAGTCAATTGGTTTTTTTAGCTAAGTGTGCTCATTGGAGACTGCCAGTTGATTCCTATACATTCTGTTATGTCCGGACCAATGCTTAGTTTGATACCTTTGTTTTGGCTAAAGACTGAACTTTGGCTAATGATTAAGGAATCTTGCTAATGCTTAGTTGGCAAATAACTATGCACTACACATCTATTTAACCTTTTATTCTAGAGTTCAGTATTGTAAGATTCTCTGCTTTAACACTCTAACTCAGGAGAGTAAGTTTTCTGAACTTGCAAAATGCCTGGTATCCTCTTAAGTGAAAAAACAAAGGAAATAAATGTTTCTTGAGTACCTAGTATGCATGAAGGCTTTATCTAAATTATCACATTAGGTCCTCTTGGCACCCTTCTGAAGTAGGGGTTATTGTGATTACTCTCATTTCACAGAAGAGAGCCATGTGACATGGACAGGATAAATAACTTGCTGGGATCCACACTGCCAGGAAGCCACTAGAGAGGTGCTAGAGAGGAAAGAGGAGTAGTGTGAGGGTTTACTACCTGTTTTTTGACTTTAAATAGAATGTAATGTCAATTTAAAAATGGAAAATGAGTGTTTGCAGATATATGGAGAAACTGGAACCCTCATACATTGCTGGTGGGAATGTAAAATGGTGCAGCTGCTTTGGAAAACAGTCTGGCCAGCCTGGCCAACATGGTGAAACCCCGTCGCTACTAAAAATACAAAAATTAGCTGGTTGTGGTGGCACGTGCCTGTAGTCCCAGCTACATGGGAGGCTGAGGCATGAGAATTGCTTGAACCCAGGAGGTGGAGGTTGCAGTGCGCTGAGATCACGCCACTGCACTTCAGCCTGGCGACAGAGTGAGACTCCGTCTCAAAAGAAAAAAAAAAGTAAACAGTCTGGCATTTCCTCAAAACATGAAACAGAGAGTAACTGTATGACCCAGCAGTTCCACTCTTAGGTATATACCTGAGAGAACTGAAAACACGTTTCCACAAAAAACGTACATACCAATGTTCCTAGCAACATTATTCATAATAGCCAAAAAGTGGCAGCAAACCAAATGTCCATCAGCTGATGAATGGATAAACCAAGTGGATATCCATATGATGGAATATTATTCAACCATTAAATATAAATAAAGTACTGAGGCATCCTACAACATGGATGAACCTTGAAACCATTATCCTAAATGAAAGAACCAGATGCAAAGGGCTATATATTTTATGATCTCATTTATATGAAATGTCCAGAATAGGCAAATCCACACAAACAAAAGCCAGATTCCTGGTTGCCAAGGCCTGGGGGAAAGGGAAGAATATGGAGTGACTGCTTAATAGGTACGGATTTTCTTTTTAGAGTGATAAAATGTTCTGGAATTAGATAGGGATGATGATTGTATAACATTGTGGATATACTAAATACCACTGATTCATATATAGATAGTCCTTAACTTAGGAGAGTCAACTTATGATTTTTCAACTTTACAGTAGGTTTATTAGAGTGTTAAATGCATTTTTGACTTTGATATTTTCAATTACAATGGATTTATCAGGACATAGCCCCATTATAAGTCAAGGAACATCTGTACTTTAAAATGGTTAAAATGGTGGATTTTAGATCAAGAAAAAATAGAATATAGTTTTTATAAGACAATCTTTCATTTAGCACATTTTTATTGGGCATCTGCTGTGGGGTAGATAAAAGTATGTTTTCTTTAGTATAGAGGCTTTACTGGAGGTGTCAAATAGAAATAATCTGGATTAAATGTTAAATGCAGCACTGTGGAAATCGTCTGTAAAGTGCACTCCAAGTAGCATCCTTGGTACTACTAGGAAAGCGTACTGACCCTCACATAAAGGTGCACTGAAGTGAATTAATTATAACAACAGTTATTGCTCTTTATCGAGTGTTTGTCATGTGCTAGACTTGATGCCAAGTGCTTTTGTGTATTTTATGTTATTTAATCCTTGTAGCAACCCTGTTGATAAGAAAACTGTGGATCAAAAGATGAAGTGATTTGTCTATGCTAGTAAGTGCCAGAGCCAGGATTCAAACCCTGGTTTGCCACATTTGAAATATTTCTATTTTCAGCAGCTAGAATCCCTTTTATTAACAATAGTAAAACAGATCATAATAATGGATGCAGTTTTATGCTTTAAAGTTATTGAACAAAGTATACCCAGTTCTGATTATTACCACATTGGCCCCTTGTGCAGCTCTCCAGAAACTGCCCTTTCTGGCTTGCATTTGCTCAAGGACTAAGAAAGTTGGCATTCTGAGAGGCTGCTCACGCCATCCTCCAGAGGCCCAGATGCGTATGGTCTACAGGACCCCTGACAGCAGCCGGTTCTATAACTCACACCCCATTGCTCTGCTGAGAAAGGTACAAAATGCAGCACTGTATAAATAATCTCTAAAGGTGCATCTAGAGGCTGGCGCGGGGACGCACGCCTGTAATTCCAGCTACACTGGAGGCTGAGGCAGGAGAATCGCCTGGGAGGCAGAGGTTGCAGTGAGCCGAGATCTGAGCCAAGATCACACCACTGTACTCCAGCCCAGACGACAGAGTGACACTCCATCTCAAAAAAAAAAAAAAAAAAAAGGTCCATCTAGTAGAGAGTAAAATAGTTCAAACAGCTCAAGTACCACCTCATGGAAATCCTTATGACTCATTGAATAAGGCTGAGCACTTTGGAAATGGTAACTACAGACTGTCCCATGATTTGGGAGGGAGAATATGTCTTCCTAAAGATATTGGAGAAGTTAGATGGTGAGAAATGACCAGATTACAGTCTGTCTCCCAGAACGTGAGGCCCCACTACCAGCGTGGCTCACATGTGGGTCTCAGTCAGTGTCAGCGAGGTCTTCCTGTCCTCTGCTGGTTAGAGGAGCACCCAGGCTCCTCTGCAGTAGAAGCGCTCAGGCTGTGTTTGCTCTTCGGGAGAGAGACGACGGGGCTAGTGGGGGTGGAGGGTGAGGGGCAGGTGGAAGAAGCTGTCTGCTCAGTCATCATTGCCACATCAAGTAATTTGTCACAGACTCTCTGGCTGATTTTTCAGCAAGCTCTCATGGACTTGCAGAGGTCACTGAGGTGAGCTGTGTACTGTGTGTAAACACAACACTGATGGGGGCTTCAGAACCTCTGCTACCCCTGGGATTATAATTTATTGAATTAACAGAACCAAATAGAAGAACATGTAAGCCAGAGTCAACAGAGGGTTACAGGAATGACCCAGGCTAGCCTCTTTGGACTCTCTTGGCTTCTAGGCCCTGAAGGGAGGGGTCAGTCATCTGGATTGGACCTCATTTTGTAGCATTAGTTGAACACTTATCATTGACAGGGCCCTGTGCTATTCACTTTACATGCGTTGCTTCCCTTAATTCTCACAGTACTGTGAAGCAGGTACTGTTATGCTTATTTTACAGATGAGAAAACTGAGGCTCATAAAAGTTCAGTAATTTGCCCAAGGTCCCACAGATAAAGATCCTGCCTTCATGGAACCTTTATTTTAGTGGGAAGGGAAGAGATTAATTGTGAAAGTGATTGAGGGTCTAAGGATGGGTATAATCTGGTTCCCGGGACTGTGTTAGCAATTTCATTTCATAGACTGTAA